AAGATCATCAAGAAGATCATACACCCTGATCAAGTGGGATTCATCCCAGGGATGCAGGGATGGTTCAACATATGCAAATCAATAAATGTAATACACTATATTAATAGAGCCAAAGAAAAAAATGATATGGTCATCTCAATACATGCAGAAAAAGCATTCAAAAAGATCCAACATGCATTTATGATAAAACCCTACAAAAATTTGGAATAGACAGTCTCTACCTCAATCTGCTAAAAGCCGTCTATGAAAAACCAAAAGCCAATATCATACTAAACGGTCAAAAGCTGAAATCCTTCACACTAAAATCAGGAACAAGACAAGGATGTCCACTATCACCACTCCTGTTCGATATAGTTTTGGAAACATTAGCCATACCAATTAGACAAGATAAAGAAATAAAAGGAATAAAGATAGGAAACGAAGAAGTTAAATTGTCACTATTAGCAGATGACACAATACTCTATATAGAAGACCCCAAGAACTCCATCAAAAGACTTCTAGACTTAATAAACAAATTCAGTAAAGTAGCTGGATACAAGGGCAACAAATAAAAATCAGTAGCTTTCCTCTACCCAAAAAACAGACTCAGTGAGAGAGAAATGGGGCAAACAATTCCTTTCACAATAGCATTCAAAAATTGAAATAACCAGGAATCAATCTAACAAAAGAAATCAAAGACTTCTACTCTGAAAACTATACCACTCTGGAAAAAAGAGATTGAAGATGATATCAGAAAATGGAAAGACATCCCTTGCTCCTGGGTAGGAAGAACCAACATAGTGAAAATGACCATACTTCCAAAACTGCTATATGGATTTAATGCAATCCCAATTAAAATTCTAGCCACATACTTCATGGACCTTGAGAAAACAATCCAAACATTCATTTGGTATAAGAAGATAACTAGAAGAGCAAAAGCAATTCTAGGCAATAAAGACAAGGTAGGGGGTATCACAATCCCCAACTTGAAACTATACTATAAAGCTACTGTGATAAAAACAGCATAGTACCAGCAAAGAAACAGACCTGAGGACTAGTAGAACAGATTAGAAGGTGCCAACACAACTCCAGACACACTCAGCCACCTAATCTTCGACAGAGGAGCCAAATACCCTCACTGGAGGAAAGATAGCCTCTTTAATAAATGGTGTTGGAAAAATTGGGCTTCACCTTGCCAAAGATTAAAACTAGACCTATATCACTCACCATTCACTAAACTAAAATTGAAATTGATTAAAGATCTAAATATTAAAACAGAAGCACTGAACTTGCTGGAAGATAAGTTAGGTAGAAGTCTCAAAATCATTGGCATAGGAAAAGATTTTATGAACAAATCCTCAGTAGCATGGGCACTAGCATAAAGAATCAAAAAATGGGTTCTCTTATTAAAAGCTTCTGCACAGCAAGAGAAACCACGAACAATGTGAAGAGACAACCACAATGTGGGAAAAATTTTCACCAGCTGTTCCACAGACAAAGGTCTACTATCTAGAATATATAAAGAACTTAAAAAAAATCAGACCTCCCAAATTTAAAGACCTAATCCAAAAACGGGAATCTGAAATGAACAGACATTTCTCAGACAAAGAAGTAGAAATAGC